CACCAACACCACTGTAACAACTGCTTAAATAAAGGTCACTAAACCAATTGTGCTTACTCCTAATTGATGCTTTAACCTCTCACTTATCCCTCCCCCCTCCCATCACCATTAAACCGGCGGTACGGTCTAATCCACTCACCGTGATCTGCGATCAAACTGGTGGCTGGCCAGCGGCATCGTGTATGTTTTTTTGCATTCATATGCTTATGTATACTTAATTAATAATAATAATTATAATTAATAATAACAATAAAATTTTTAAGTGTGCAAATTTAATATATTTTATAAATTATAAAAATAGAAATATTATGTATCTTGGTCTAATTAAGGTGTTTTAATAGCAGTTAATGTTAAAATTATGTAACTCATAATTCAATAGATATGAACTACATACATGAAGTTTACCATATATTTTGTAAGTTTTACAGGCATCATTAAAAATATAATTGAACATCTTAAATGAATAATTAAATACTGCGAATTTTTAAATTTTAAGTTGTTTTTTATGCATTACTGGCCATATAAATTCTTGAAGACTAAATAATGTAAAAAGTTTTGCAAGATAGTAGATGAATAATAAGAGACATGGTAATGTTATGACTATTATAAATCTACTAATTGCACTACCAATGTCGAGCCAGCTGCCTTCGGTAGTAATGCTGAACATAAACGGTATCGCTAGGCAATCGCCTAAGAGTAGCACAGTTGAAAAAATAGTTAAATCCGGTGTTATAACATGGACCAAACATCCTACTAATATCAATGGTATAGTAATTTTTAAAATAATAAGAGCTGCCATTGAAAATGGTGAAAATACTGTTAGAAAGTGTTGTGTCCAAAATGGATCGAAGGAGCTAATGCTTGCAATGTTACCTGTGCCAAAAAAACAAAGTAACATATAGAACATCTAATTTAAATATTGTTAAGGATATTCGTTAGTTTATTAGATATTATTTTATGAAAATAATTATTAATAAATTAAATTACTGAAAATTTAGAATGTTTTTGTGTATGTATTCAAATACGGTCAAAAGTTGGTTAATATATGTGAATTTAGGTTTTTTTGAATATATGAAGTATTGGTTTTTTTATTTATATTGATTTATATTTTATTATGCACGTTAAGCAATCGGTATCATTTTTCCAAGCACTTTTTTGTTAAATATAAATACTTATATAACATTGAATTTTTCAACAAATATTATAAGATTAATACAGAAATTTAATGAGTAAATTTTATTGAATTTTAATAGTAAATTTATGTTCTTTGCATATTTTCATTATTGGTCTCATACTTAAATAATTATTTTAATAAGTTCTTTATTCTAGCCTATCATTATTCTTTGTTTTTCTAATCATAATGTGTAGCAATTCAAGCGAAAGTATATTCTCTATTAAAATTGATTAAAATATTTACTTTACATTTCAAAACAAATCAAGAAAATGTTATTTGTATATTACAAAAATGTTTTATATTTTTTTCTATTATCATCCTATCTTCGCAATAAACATAATTTCGGAAAAATAATTTTTAAATCTATTATAGCCTTTCTTGTACATAGTTGAAAAACGGTTGATGAATAACGTAATAATCAATTAAATAAAAAATAAATTGTTGTTACAGTTTCTATCTGCATTAAACTTTTTTTTTCACTATTTTTATAACTTTAAAAATTACTTAACTTATTAATTTCCAAATGTTTATTAAAATTTCAATCAAAGGAATAATAAACCTTTTTCCTAATATTCAAGTAATGTGCAATAGGTTTTTTTATAAAAACCAAAATTAATAATTTTGCTTATCATTATTATTCAATTATTGCGAATTCATGTTTCTTAATCATACATATTCATTCTTTTGATTACGGTTAATAGGACTAAAATGTTTCATAAACATATATAACATTAGTTTAACTAAGTAATATAATTAAAAATTTATATAAATATCAATAATTATTATAAAATTATAAATTTATAAAGGATACAAGAATAACTGTAATACTGATTTTTCTAAGATTCAAAACTTTCTTATCAAATGTTGAGTTTTGTAAGCACTCATATATTGTCCAATATTGTAAATGAGTTGTAAAAATAAAAAAAAATAATGTTTCATATGAAGTGGATAAAAGAGAATAAGGACTTAATAAAGCCATAGAAATACCAAAAAATCTTTGGTTCCAATCATTTGGATAAAGCCAAATTACAATTGGTGTACTTAAAAGTATACACCATGATAACCAAGATTTTCCATCAATAAGGTTTAAACATAAAAATAATGTAAATATGATACGAATAAGTTCAATGACTTTATTATATTTATAAATTTTTTTGTTTTTTATTATTAATACTATACTGATGCATAATACTATTATTCTGAAATAAATATTAACAAATGTTATAAATTGATTTAAGAGCAGTATAATTTTTCATTAATTTTTAATTTATAATCTTACACAATATATATTTTTGGTTGTAATCCAACTGTTGGTAAAAGTGGAAAAACTGCAAGAGTAAAACCAGTTAATATAAATTGGGATCTTGCAATTTTATTAAACATAAACTTTAATAGTATAGTTGTCAATAGCATGCTGATGCTAAATGTCCATCGGTATTTTAGACCAATAAATATCATAATAATTAGGAAAATAATACTTATAAATTCAATCATAGATTTATTGTAATTTATTTTTAAAATTAGTTTTTTCTTAATTACTTCCCTAAATGCAAGCCATACCGATACTATACTAATAATACCATAACATAGTATTCTCCACTCTTTGCAATCTGCAACTAAATTATTTTAATTAGAACAAAAATTTTACATTTTATTTCCAAGCCAAATAATTTACTATGTACACTCTTGATTCTAATCTAATCATTTAATATTCAATAATTCTTCAATATGTCAAAAAAATTATTGCATTGTAATAAAGTTTATCTTTTCTTTTAAAAAATTGCAATTTCATTATAAACAAATATTTAAAAATTATATATACCTATATATTCAACCATAAGAAAAACAATTGCAACTATTAAGATTGAATTAGCTAATAACAACCATGAATAATATCCTAATTCAATTTCATATCGTTGTACACCAGATGAGTTAATAAAGAGAAATGTGATCCATCCAAACCACATGAATACTAAGCAAATAAAAAATCTATTTGTTTGATAACGTCGGTAGTACGTAAGACTTTCTTTCGCTAATTTAATAATGTATTTAATTTCAGGAATACATTCATCAATTTGTTTTAAATTGAATAATTTTTCAGCATTCAAAAGTTTATCAGTTAATTCTTTGTCTTTCCAGTACATTTTAACTATGCTTTTACCAATAGTTAATTCTCTATTAGCCTTAACTTGTTCAGCAAGCTGTTTAGCATTAGTTAGAAAAGCATTAGCTATAAACTCTTTATATTTTAAATCTAAGAACTTATAAGGAAGTACTCCCTAATATTAAAAAAAATAAAACACAAGTTAATTATAAAATATAACAAAGAAATAATTTTGTCTTACTTCATTATTAATTGGTATAGGTATTCCAATCAGAGTTGAAATAAGGGGCGTAATATCAGTTTGTTCAATATGATATAAGTGAGAATCATTAGTTATTCCAGCTCCCCATGCAACAAATGGTGTTTCTGTTTCATCTGTTGAACCACTTCCATGTGAACCCCAATCAGTCATTCCATGATCTGATGTAAAAAT